TATCTGGGCATGAAAATATTATATGGTAATATGTTCATAGAGCAATAACAATATTCTTCTTCTTTCATTGGAAATCTCAATTTAACTTGTTTGTATTTTTCTCACTTCAAAATAGCTCTGTAACAATTAATCAAATGACTTATTATTTGCCCTAAAAATAAACATTGTATTTAATAAGTTAGAAATGTCATGCTTTTTAACAACTATAAATTTTCATAAGTGATAAGGAATTTCACCTCATAAATTGGTCAAATGTAGAAAGAAGGAAATATTTCTAAATGTATTCACTAGTGTAATGTTATCTAATGAATTATTTTTAATGAGTACAAAATAACTCAAAATAATTTTCCATATTAATGATTATATTTATCTAAGTAATTATTATTCACTGCTATCTAGTCAATTCCAACACATATCAAAACTATAGGACAGAATAGAACTGTCACTGTGGGTTTCTGAGACTATTTAGGAGAATAGAAAGCCTCGTACTTTTCCTTAAAATGTATTTGTTCCAGAATATTGATTAAATAACTATATTGTGGAAGGCAGCATTCCAGATGACCTCTTTGATAATGTAAAACTGAATAGAGTTTTTAGTCTAACTTTAAAGAATTTGTAGGTAAATTGTAATGATAACAGCAAAAAGATTACTTTCATCATGAGAAACATAAAAGTGCTTTGGGAAAATAGGAAGAGATGGAATTGTTTTTACTCATATTTACGTAGTGCTATTTGGACTCAGCTATGGATGTAAGCATTATATTACTATAATTCACATATAACAGAATTGAGACTCAGAGAATTTAATGTTCTCAAGACCATACATGCTGTGTGCCCCAGTCTAACTTTAATCGTTGATTTTGTAATGCACCATCCTTTGTAACTATTTAGGAAATAAATTAGCCTAAAAGTCTACTATGTGTCAACTAATCCAAGAAAAATACACAATGATAAATTTCTATCCCTCACATTTTAATTAGATTTCCCCAAACTAACACAACACTAACATAAACATGAGAAGAGGAAATGACACATCAACCACAGACCTCATTTTCCTGGGACTATTTCCTGATATGGGAGACATCAACTTCCTTATCTACATCATGCTCCTGAGCTACATCATTGCCCTCTTTGGAAACACCATCTTGATCCTACTAATTTGGGTGGATTCTCGGCTCCACACCCCCATGTACTTACTTCTCAGCCAACTTTCTGCCATGGACTTAGTTCTCATCTCCACCACTGTTCCTAAGACGGTCACTGACTTCTGGGTGGACAGGAAAATTATCTCTCAAGTAGGCTGTGGAATACAGATGCTATTTCATATAACCATGGAAGGTTCTGAATGTATCCTCTTGACTCTGATGTCCTATGATCGCTATGTTGCTGTCTGCAACCCACTGAGGTACTCAGTCATTATGACCCCCTCAGTCTGCCTGCAGATGGCTGCTATCTCCTGGATGATTGGGTTGCTAAATGCTGTAGTTCATACAGTTTATACCATGCATTTACCAATCTGTGACTCCAGAGAGATTCACCACTTCTTTTGCGAGATTCCAGCTGTCCTGAGACTCGCCTGTGATGACACTTCTGTGTATGAAATGACTTTGTTTGTCACAGGAATAGTGTTCATCCTCATTCCCTTTGGCCTCATTCTGGCCTCCTACAGCCTCATTTTCTTGACTGTCTTCCGTATGAAATCTCAGAAAGGGAAGAAAAAGGCCCTGGCTACCTGCTCCTCCCATCTCACAGTGGTAAGTCTCTATCTAGGTTCAGGTTTCTTTGTCCTTATGGTACCTCCAACCATGTACACAGAAAGGCAAAGCCAGGCTATCTCCTTGTTCTACAACATTCTCACCCCTATGTTAAATCCCATCATCTACAGTCTGAGGAACAAGGAAGTGTTGGGGGCTCTAAGAAAATTGCTTGCCATGGGATAATATGACAACATATTGTGACAATATATTTTATCCCAGTCTTTCTCAACCAGGGTTGGTGAAAATAATAAACAGATACACTTATCACTAGGAAAATTGTTCGCTCCAAAGTTAAAAAATAAAATCTGGTAAATATAAAATACTGCTCTTTTCAGTATCACACAAATCTTGGTGTTACTAGAAGATTTAATGTTTCCATTTATAATTGTCTAAGTTATATTATGACTTTCAATTTTTTAAAATTTTTGAATAAATATCCATTTAGGAGACATATGATCTTTTAAAACCCTACAACCTATCCAGAGTTAACCACTTTTAAATACTGCCATACATACTTTTAATCAATTTGTGGTTGTATATGCTGATATTATATAGATAATGTAGATAGACTTAGAGGTAGATATAGATATAGGCATAGACACTGAAATATGTTTTTGATTGTGAATGACAAATTCAAATACTTCCCCTTCAATGGGTCATTAAATTTTGAATAGAGGTAAACATTATAACCAATACAATGACAACAACCCAGAAAGGTAATAAAGACTTCACAGCTGATTGAAGATTTGGAGAATCTTCAGACCCTTAAGAATCCATGTAGAGGCTCAATCAAGTCTTGGCAAATCAAATATTAAGAAATTTTGTGAAGTCAAAGAGGTAAGAGGCAATTTACCTGTTTAGTCCCAGGAAAACTCGAGACTTAAAAACCCTAACCCTCACCCTAACCCTACAAGAATTAACTAGATGTAGGGCAGGAACAAGTAAATTATTTGTGACTTTTTTCAGGTCCCTCAAAATATTTTCATATCCAATTCTTCCTCATAAACATAGAATACATGTTTTCTAAATTTGAATCTCTAATTCTACATTTCAGAGTTCAAAACTTCATTACTGTTGTCCTTGATAATGATTCTATGTAATCATCTTTGTCACAAGTCCATATTCATGAAGGTCCAAGGCACCTTCCCTATCTGCATGATTAACTATGAAGAGATAATAAAGAAGAAGCAGAAGTTAAGTAAGCCCAGGTAAACAGAGAGAGAAAAAATTCATCAGGGAGAAAATACAAATTGGGGAAATTAAGTGAACTTGAATATAAAATAATGTCCTACTAATATACTTAGAGCCATAATGTCATTGAGTTTATTGAAAAACACCCAAGAGGTAGTCACCAAGAAGAAACAATTCAAAGTACAGGAAATTGCTCTTCAGAGAAAAAAATTGATTAAAAGAAATTATTTAGAAACGTTTGGAAGATAACTTCAAGAAAATATTTCAGAGAATAGAGCAAGGTCACTGATAGAATAAAAAAGAGACAATAATAAAATGGTACATTCATAATGAAATCAATCTAGAGGTCAAAGATATGAAAATCAGAACTTTTAAAAGGTACACACACACTCCATTTAGGAAAATAGTTTATAATGTATATGGCTATAAAGTTTGTATAACAAAAACTACCATCTTAGCTATTTTTACGTGTACTCTGTATTGACATGGAGTTAATTAAGTTGTGTAACCATCACAGCTATTTCTAAAACTTTTTATTACTCAGAACAGAAAATCTATAACCAATCAACAATAGCTACTGATTCTCCTCTCCTGCCAGCCATTGGTAATCTCTATTCTAATTTATAGCTCTGTAACTATGTCTGTTCTCGTATTTCATATGAGTTCTTGTT